TTTCCCTTCCTCTCCTGCCGGACTGTCACTGGGTTGTAACAAACAACGTGACTGACATTGGTCGTGTGGTCTCTTGACTGTATTTTACACTGAGCCAGCTGGGCGCAGTGATTTCCTTTCAATTCATCCCCCTCCATGTCACACTGTCCATGCAACACAACGAAGAGGAGCCTGGTGTTTGTTTGGCTGCTTTGTGAGCATGGACAGATCCATACTGCCCCACCAGTCAACTTCCCGTCCACAGCCAGCCCCCTGCTCTACACGGTATCACTCTGCTAATGGGTGGTAATGGCCAAACCGTTCTGTACCACTCAGCATCTTGTCTCTGATATTCATGTGTCCTGTGCAGCTCAGGGAAAGATGCTCAGTCACCGAGGGCGGGTTTTTTGGGTCAGCTCCTTTGCAGGGGGAAGGCAACAGTTACTTTCTCCACATCTGATCTGTGCTGGGATCTGTGTCGTCCCCCCCCCCCCCTGTTCCCAGAATGCCCAGCAGCAGAGGGCAGGTGTGTTCACGAGACAGCGATCCAGCTGCGCCTTTCCCATCTTACATGCACAGCCCTGTCCCTCTCATGGAAGGCCCTGTGTTTGTCTACTCCTATGCAGAATGAATTTCCTTATTTGGAGTAACATTAAGGTAACGTACGTCTCTGCACAGCTGGGAGGAACCCTCACTGCAAGGTATTACGCAGATTTGAAAACTTTGCCATAGGGGTAATTGGTCCATCTAGGCCATGTCAGGCATTGGAGAACTCATTATTCACAGAATTAAAACGACGTACGAGAGAGAAACACAATGAGGAATTGCGCAGACCAGTTGTGAGAATAATTTGGAAGAATCACGTTCAAAGCCATTTGGAGGGTCTGGCCCATGAAAGCTCATCACCTAATAAAACATCTTGTTAGTCTTTAAAGAGGGTCGGCTCTAGGCACCAGCAAACCAAGCATGTGCTTGGGGCAGCACATTACTAGGGGCAGTATTCTGGCCGCCCCTCAGAGACACTGGTTGGAGAACTCCTCAACTCCTGACTCTTACCGCCTGACGTGGGCCTCCCTGTGGCTGGCCCAGCCAC